GAGCCAGCGCCGCCTCGCTGTTTGGCATCGTAGGGACCAGCTGAGGGGTGCTGGCATGGCCCCCAGCCGTGCCAGAGGGCAGGGGCCGGGCAGCGCCCCGGAGTAGTCCTGGGCACTCCACTGCTGTGGAAGGGAAGAGGCTGCTCTGGGCTAATGTGCTGGGGAATGGGGGGTGATCCCTGGGTCCCTACCTCCTCCTGGGTCAGGTCTGTACGGGTGTCCTGTGCTGGGCTGAGTCTTGCACAAGGGAGCCTGGGCCCCAGCAGACCCCTGCTCACATGAGGACGAGGTCGTCCCTCCGCTCCCGTGTCACCGCTCGGCCGCCCTGGCGCGCTCTGACTCTGTCTGTCCTGCAGCTGACGCCGGGTGGAAAGGCGGCCCAGGCCGGCGTGGGAGTGGGTGACTGGGTGCTGTACATCGACGGGGAAAGCACCAGCTCCATGACACACATCGAGGCCCAGAACAGGATTCGTGCCTGCGGGGACAGGCTCTGCCTCACCCTGAGCAGGTAGGATTCATGGGTCTTGCAAACCTGGGGTCCTGGTGTTGCCAGAGCAAAGTCAGTGCCATCTGCCCAGTGCCATCTCCCAAATCACTGCTCCCTGCTCAGGACCTGGCAGCCCCTGCCTGGGTCCAAGGGCTTGGCTGGACGAGGCTTAGCCTAGCTGCAAGCCCTCACCTGCAAGCCATGGGGCAGTGCCAGCCAGCCATGGCTCCCCTCGGGCCAGTGCTGCATCCCTGGGGTACCAGTGTCCTGGCAGTGACTGGGCCAGTTCCAGCACCTGCCCAGCTGTCTCCTCTCTTGCAGAGCCCAGAACCACCTGGGGAAGCCGCAGAAGGTACGTGTCGCTCCTGGTGCTGCAGTGGCAGCTCAACCTCAGGGGAGGGGAATCTCTGACCTTAGATGGACAAATGGATTTTGCTTCTGGGGAGCCGGGATGTGTTCGGAGAGCTGGAAAACCCCTCGCTGGAGGAGCAGCTCTGACCCCTTGCACTACAGGGGATCGGAGGGCGCAGTGTCTGCCTGGTGGGCACCTGGGCCCCAGCTGCCGCCTGTCTGTGTC